ATGGGATCCGGCACGGGCGCACCAGGTAATCCAACTGGATCCTCTTGCTTGTAGTGCTCGAGCAGCGCCTCAATCTGTGCGGCCAGTTTATTTTTGCTTGCCTCTATCTCTTGCGCCTCATCGCCCCCTTCCGCTTCTGCGAATGGGACAAGGTTCAACTATACATTGGACCTACATGGAGTTGACATGCAGTCTATCTACTCACCATTCTCATCCTGCGCCTGTGCTGGCACGTTGTAAGCTAGGATTAGGAGCGCCACGAGTAATACTATCAGCGATTTCATCTTTGTGCGATTTTCTTATAAATCTCTGCTTATCAGTTGAGGAACAACAACAACAAGAAGAGAATGATTACGGATGCGCGTTTCGCTGCCTCCACTCGACTCGGATTCGAACTGACGACTGGCCCGAGTTAATCAACAGATAATGATGAGCACTTCACAGCAGCGGCAGCAACAGCAGCCGTCGCAGCGCTTATCAAAGGGCACGGCTAATGCTGAGCTGAGATGAGCTAATTTTTTTTTTATTAAACTCGGAATTGAGTGAGCGCGTGGCTGGCGTTGAGTTCGACTCGCCGGAAGCGGTCACCACTTTACAAATGTTTTGAGAAAATTCCATTTAGCCGCTCAATAGATAGAGCGGGTTGTGTCTCCTGGAAAACTTATCTGTTTCTCTCAAAACATTTATAAAATAGGAAGCTGAACATGCAAATTATGATCTGATCTTCAGCTGCTTGCTGCAAGCCCCTTGAAAAATACAATTTAGCTTTCGAGCTTGGTTTGCAATACTCTTGCAAGAATATTTTTAAATTTACAATCTGAATTCGTCGTTAGATAAATCTCTTTATTTAAATTTGCAAACAAATATTTTTATTGCAACTGGCTTTCATAATTCCGAGTATACACAATCTTAAATTAAGAAAAAAAAAATGTTTGACTTTCACGTGCTCAAAAAAAAGGTTCATGCTCAAAAAAATAAGGTTTCATGCTCAAAAAAAGGTTCTTAGCCTATAAAAAAAATGTTGCTTAAAACTATGAAAAAAAAGTGACCTAATAGTATGACATGTACTTAAAAATATGAAAAAAAAAATTGGCTTAAACATATGAAAAAAATTGGCTTATAATTATGAAAAAAAAAGTATCCTTAAATCTATGCAAAAAATTAGTTTTTGTTTTTTTGGTTTACAGCGACCGCATTTAACACAAAGCATAGTTACAATTATTAACTAGTTATCAACTTTTTGCCCTATTGTTACAATTCGTTGTACGACAAGAATACAAATTGCTTTGGATTTACCTAAGTGGATTTAGTTGGTGCAGATCCTGCAACGCGGCGCCTGACTTAAGCGTTAAGGTTATCAAGTTTTTCATGTACATTAACATACAAACATATCACTTAAAGTAAGAGGTCACAAAATTAAAAGAGGGAAAGTAGGGGTGCGTCATAAATAATTTCGGTTAGTCGCCCAAGTGTCCTCACTTAGGGTCTATATGAGTTTTGAGAGCTCTTTCCCGGAGACATTGGGATTAGAGTATATGGATGTGTTGATTGTGGTTTTATGGCGAACCTGGTTGTACCAGGGTAAAACACTTGGGCAATAAAAACATAAAATGAGTAGATGGTTGTGCAATAATTATAGCTGAAAAACAAAAAGGATGATGGATGAGCGCTTAAGTCGATTGCAACCGACTAGACAAATGCCCTGTACCTGAGTGTAGGTATCATATATATATCCATATATGGAACGCAGGCACAGGGCATGGACATGACAAACAGCTCTGCTACCTACGCACAAATTGTAACAACAACACACTTTCAAGCATAGATGGCAACTACGGAACGAGGACGATATACACACACACTGGACGCAATTGCCCGGTCACATGGATTGCTTACAGGTCGTCATCTTCGTTGAGGAAATACTCAAACATGGCATGCTCCTTGTCAGCGCCGAGGCTGTCGCCAGCGGCAGCATTGACGGCGCTGACAAGCTCAGCCGCAGACTTGATGGACGAACCGCAATCGGCATCTAATTCGGTCGATTCTACGCCCTTGAACTTCTTTGCCGGCTGCTCTGTTGGCGACGGCGTCGACTGTGATTCCAGCGTTGGCTCCACCACAGCTGGCGGCGGCATAACGTACGCAAATTCAGGTATGGACGTATTGCCATCATTGCTACGCAGCGGCACGCGCTGGAAGCCCAGTTGAGCGGGATCGACGGGTTCGGTGCCGTTAAAGATGTTGAAGCCTGCAGCGTAAATGCAAAAAAAAAATCGATGCCACAAACGTAAAGCAAGTTTAAGCGCAGCTGGACTAACCCTGATATTGACCATTTTCGTTTTGCATTAGCACCAGCGGATGTTGTGTCTGCTGCAAATTGTCCAGCGGCACCAGAGTGAAGCCAGATTGCATGCCAGCTGTGCTTGCTGCTGCTGCTTCTGGTGCAGATGGCGTGGGCTCCTCTGCAGCTGCTGAGACCGGCGCGGGCTCCTCTGCAACCGTTTCCATGGGCGCCTCTAAATTGGAGTCCTCTTCGTCGCTGGTATCAGCCGCATCCTGGTGCGGATTTTTGCAGCCAATGCATTTGCAATCGACACATGATTTACCCGCCACGTAGCAAGTGCAACGTGAGTTGCGACAGGTCGCTCTGCCAGGTGCCGATGTGGTGCCACAGCGACAGATGTGTGACATGCGCGTATCTTTCGGTTTGGCCTTTTGGAATTTGCCTGATGCTGGTGGCCCGCGTGCCTTGACTGGTGTGGATGTGACTGGAAAAGCGGAAACGGTAGCTTTAGCTGCTACCGGAGCTGCAGCCACAAGAGGCGCGGTTACGGGAGCTGCAGCTGTGGTAGCCTTGGCTACAAGAGTTGCAGCTCTTGTTGATTTGGCTACAGGAACTACAGCTGCGGCAGGTGTGGGAGCTGCGGCTACGGGAGCAATAGCTACCGGGGCTGCAGCTACAACCACGGGAGCGGCTACAGCTGGAGGAGGAGGAACAGCAGCTGCGACATTTACTACAGCTGCCGGAACGTTTGCTATGTGCGCTGCAGCCACCGGAGCTGCTGTAATTATTGGAGATGAGTTCGCAGTGGGTGGCTTGACCTGAACCGATGAGATTATGGTGGCCTTATGGTTGCGCAAATTCATGCGTGTGTCCGTCTGGCTTGTGACAACGGGCTCGCTGCTCTCCATCTGCTGCTGCAACTGCTCCTCCGGCACATCTTCAAGCAATAGCTGGGCATGCCGACGTTTACTGTTCGCACCACCGACGGCAACTGGTTCAAACGCCGTCGTTGTCGTCGTCGTTGCTGCCATCTGTTGCGGCAGTTGCACCACCTGACCAATGGAGGGCATATGCAGCTCGTTGCTGGGCATTACGTATGTAGTGTAAGTCGGACTGTTGGAATATGTGGGCAGCGAGAGGGCACCGGATAAATCCACTTGATCAGACCAGCGGGACTCAATGTAACCGGCTGGCAGCAATGTCTGTTCGGCTGGTATCAGCATTTGTGGCTGCGGTGCAATGTGACTGTGGGTTAAAATGCGCGCACCCGGTGTCATCATCGGCAAAGGATGCGCGTACTGGGCCTGTTCGCCGGTTACCGCTGCTTCTAGCTCAATATCTGTGAGTGACAGCTGATCGGGCATATGCTGTTCGTACGGCAGCTCCGGCGTTGTGGCCGCAGTCGTCGGTGGCGTCTCGGCTGGCAGCGATGGGGGCATGTGCCCCAGAAACGGCAACTCGGGCTGTGATAAAAATGTATCGCACATATCCTCATAATTGGCGCCCTCCTGTATGAACCATTGTGTTGGCCTGTTCGGCAACCTGATGCGTGGCCGCCGCTCGATGTGGTAGCTGGTCTCAATGTCCGGCTGCAGCTGGTAGAGCTGGGCGTATAGCGACGACTGCAACAGATGCACACACAGCGTCTTATAGCACAGCAGTTGCATGGCCATCGATTTGTTCTCCTCGTAGGTCTTGAAGTCGCAGCAATCGTTGCACTGCGCGCAACTGGGCAACAAACGCTTGCGGCCTCGCAGGCACAGCCGGCACACATGATGCCCACAGCGTTTGTCCTTCGGCTTGTACGGATCGTTCAGCAGCTGGCAGCAGACGGCACACGACAGCAGTTGGCGCAGTTCACCGATGCCGGAGTTTAGCTCTTGGATGCGGCGCTTGGACAAATTCGAGGCGGATTTCAGTGAGAGTCGCGTTATTTTTATATAAAGTTTTTGCGCCTCCATCGTATGGACGTATCTGTGTGTGTGTGTGTGTGTGTGTGTGTGTGTGTGTGTGAGAGAGACTGTACAATGTGGACAAACCACCAAGCATTCGCGATTGTTTACAGTTTCCGTTGTTAGCAACTCCGGTGGCGAAACCGCTGCGCTGCCGCCTGCCTTGCCGAAATTGACCAGCAATTGTTTAACACATGTTATTTAAGAATTATTGCTATACTTTTTCCACCGGTCAGCATCGAATATTGCCTGGCGTTCCTCTAGCAGTTGTTGTTGTTGTGGTTGCACTGTTTCACTTAGCGGCTAAATACTTAGAAATACTTTTCACGTGCCAAAAAAAAATACAAAAAAAAAAAACAAAAAAAAAAAGATGGATATGTAGTCTCAATGTTATTCAAGTCATTTTTAATTATCACTTTGTTTTTAACAATTGAAGAACAAAATTACCAAAGGTGAATAGAAACGCCGTGCTTGCGTTTTATATTCTTTTATGCAGTGTGACCGTTTCATGAGAATTTGTCGCCTAGCATCGTGAATTGCTACAAAGCTGCCAATCTGTTTAGAACTGTTCATTACAGTACGCAGTCAAATGCAAACATTTTGCCTGCATTCAAATCACTGGCATATATTACACAAAATATTTTTGTTTAAACGCATAACAAATATATCGCAGTTAATTTTCTGATTTGATAATTTAACTTAAAATAACTAAGTTATCGGTTAAGATTGATTTGACCCGCGTACTAAGCCTTTCATATGGCGTGAAAGTCTGAACTGCGTATCATCCTTAATAGTTGATGCAGCCCTGCAATGCAATATGTAAACAATTGCGTGCAAATTAATTTACCGTAAGTTATAGTTATTAGTTAGCTGCAATTCTTTAAATATAATGTCGATGTACAGGCACAAGAGAAAACGTGTAAAGAATTTAATAAAATGGGAGGAACTGAATCCTCTGCAGCTAATAAAGGCGAATAATAATCATGTCTTCAAAAATTCCACAACTAAAACGCGCAAAAGGAAATCCTGAGAGGATGTGGCCCAACAATTCTTCAAGCAAACTGGAACACAACGTAGCTGGAAAGCATTAAGGGACAAATACAAAAGCATGCGCTCGATATTTAAGACTAATAATCGCCAAAGTTTGGAAATCGCGAAACCTGAGGAACGCCAGGTTCATGAACCTGATGAACACCTAGTTTGAGTATTGGCTGGGACATAGTTCCAAGGTTTCGAACCTGTTCGGGTTGCAGTCTTGGTATGTGGAGATCTAAATACCTAAAAAAGAAAAGATCATGTAAGTTAATTGGATTTGTTTTTATTATTATACACATTCTAAATGAGTAAAACATATTTACATACATTTTCACTTACAATTAACTAAGCGCTAGGGTAGATCATATAAAGATAGAGCTTTAAGTAGTATTATAACTTAATGATTTATACGAAATGCTGTCACTGTAAGGAGATGATTGTGTGGGCGACTATGCCTAATTAGTTAGGCTCTAAATGACCAACTAAATTAGTAATGTCACCTGGTGCTATTCTTAAGTAATATAGATTTAATATCTACGCTCTTGCTTCTCGTTAACAACGGTCAGCGGCTGGTAGCTGGGATTGGAGAAGGCGTCTGTGCTGCTGCTGCTGCTGTTGCCACCGGGCGCAGATTTGTTGACAAGATTCTTACGCGGCGGCTTCACATTCACATAGTTCTCGCCGCTCCCGTTTAGCGTCGTCTCGATGTGATGACGTGGCGAGGGCGTGGGCGTAACATATTGCTGCTTCAGCGCCTGAGGGAAGCGGCGTGCCTGCTCGGGACTGCGTTCACCATCCGATGTGGAGGTGCGATGTAGCATGGGTATCTCCTCGGGTGCCTGATCCGCTGCATCCACGGTGGGCATGCCGTTCTTTCGGCGCAACGGCTTGTGTGCGCTGCTGTCCATATTGTTGGCCAGCGTTGGCGAATGTTGGCCCACAACGGTTCGCGTATCTGGGAACGTGAAAGAGGTTTCGTTTGTTTCTATGGCTGGCAAATCGGCAAATTCTGTGCTTTGATTCGCGTCGCCCTTGGGACGCGTGGGTGAAAATATGGCGGTGTTGTTCTCGGCATTCATTTGTAGGTAATCATCGGGTGAAGCTTCGATTCCTGTGAACGGGTTAGTGTGAAGGATGTGTGTGTGGGTGTGTGTGTGTGTGTGCAGGCGGTTAGTGACCACATCCAAGCAAGCATTCCATATGTACTTACGTATATCGGGCACTATGTGCCCATTGACATAGCGCGGCGCCGCTGGTGCAAACTCATCCGGCGAGCCCATTAGCGATAAATAGTCCGTGGGCCGATTCTTCATGTACTCCGTATTCGAGCGCATATACGGATCGTTCAAATCCAGATAGTGCTGCGGTAACCAAAAACGAGTGCGTTTTAATAAATTGTAGAAGTGTATATAGCTGGGCTCCAAACCCAAATAAAAATATCCCTTGTTTCAGTTCACAATTGAAACTCGCTTCCTGGTTTTGAGTATGGTTCGTGAACCTGATAAACACCCAGTTTGAACATCGGCTGGGACATAGTTTCATAGTTTCGAACCTGTTCGGCTTACAGTCTGGGTATATGGAGATCTACTTACATTGGCCACATCCTCGCCCAACATGTTGGCAAGGCGTCGCTCCAGCACATGGAACAAAGGTCTGCTCTCGGGACTAATCATGAGAAAAAGGTAATAATTAATAATAATAATAATGATAATTAATCAGAAGATATTATATAATATTATTTACCTCTTCCTCCAGCACTCGAGCATTATTTCGTAGAGTTCCTGATTGGCATATGGCGGCTTTTCCATGCGATAGCCGTCGTTTAGCTTGTTGAACAGCTCCTGATTGGGATCAATGCCCGGATAGGGCACCTTGGACAGCGAGAAGAACTCCCAAAGCACAATGCCAAAGGACCAGACATCGCTGTAGGTACTGAACACATGATCGCTCAGGGATTCCAGCGCCAGCCATTTGATGGGCAGCTTGCCGCTCTCTGCAAGCAACACAAGAGATGCCTATTAAATGTATGTATGCCAAGATATAAATGCAACTTCACTTACCGGACTTCTTGTAGTTATCACCACGGTACATGGAACGTGCCAGACCAAAATCGCAGATCTTCACAACATTGTCCTCGCAGAGCAGTATGTTACGGGCTGCGAGATCGCCGTGTAGTACCTTCTTCGAGGATAGGTAATACATGCCGCGCGCCACTTGAAAGGCCCAACTGACCAGGTCGATGGTGGTCACAGTCATCGCCTCGGTGGAGTCTGTCTTGTAGTTGGAACGCCAGGCGGGTTGTATCGAGTTGTTGGACATGATATGTTCATCTGCACGGAAAGGGGCGCTCGTCAAGGAACCGAATGGGTTATAGGTAGCTGATGCCCGACACTTACCCTCTGGCACTGTGGTCATCACGGTTGCCTCCGTCGCGCAGGTGTCCAGCTGACGATCGTAGGTGCTGCCGCCGGTTACGGTGCGGCCGGCACGGGTGCCCGACCGTGGATCATTGTCGGAGTTTCTGCGATGAGTGTGCGTATAGTTGTTGTTTACGTGATTGATATATGGATGGTTCGGGAAACCGACGTTAACATATTTCAAGCCACCACCAACATCACTGGATGCACACGGTTAATATATATTGGGCACAACACAGACACATTTAGCAGGTTCAGAGCAGTGCATAGAGGAGGAGTAGACCATAAACATAACCGGAGCCACAACCACAAGCACGGGCATAGGCACAGGCACAGTTAGGTTTTGTGTGTTTGGATGTATTTTGGGGTAAGTTGTTTGTTGTTGTTATTAGTTAAGGATTGGACATAGTTTAGGTAGAGTGGTTGTTAGTACAATTCGTATTAGTTATAGCAGAAGAAACAAGAACAATGTTAGTTAACATTAGCTGTAAACCTACTGTTAAAGTTACCATGCGGTTACCATTAACTTACCGATGCAAATCAAAGTTGTCCGAAATACGTTGCGTCATGATGCTGGGATCAATGCGATCATTTATGGGATTTATCTGATTGATAAAACATTTGCGATTGCGCAACAAAAAGTTCTGTATATTGCCAAAGCGACAATATTCCACAATGACCATCAATTCGCCTGGTAAATTTTAAGGATTAGGTTAATAACGCAGAGTAACTATAGTGAAGGTCGAGGGGAACTTACGCTTTGCTATATTCTTAGTAACAGCGCCCAATAGATTAACAACATTCAAATGTTGTCCCAGATGCACCATTATTTTCAGCTCGGAGACCAGGGCGCGCACCACTTCCGCGTCGGCGGTGCGTTTAACCATTTTAACGGCCACGGTGCTGACGGGCTCATCGCTGCGTATGCCCTCGGCCTCGCCCTTGAGGACCACACCAAAGGCGCCGGCGCCCAGCTGCTTGCCCAGCTTCAGTTTGTCGCGCGGAAACTCGAATTCACGATTGTAGGGCAGCAGTTCCGCTTGCTCGTCCAATGACAGCGCCGGATTTATTTGCGCCACATCGCCCTCTTCAAAGTTGGCCAGTCCCGCGGACTTTAAGGCCAAATGATTTTTGCGCTCCTCCCGATAGCGTACGGCCAGGAAGGCGCAGAGTGCAATCAGTACGCCGAAAAAGATGGCGCCCACCCAAATCCATAACTTGCTCACGCCCGGAATATCTGTAAAAGATGGAAAACAGTTGAAATTCAAGCTGAGGCTCTATCTCTGCGAAAGTTCTAAACATACTGGCAATCACCACGGTCACGGAGTTCTCGATGCTGCCTAGGCGATTGGCGACCACACAGCGATAGATGCCATCGTGTTTGGGATAGAGATGGGGTATCAACAGCTTGGTGCCGTCCTCCACAAGGTGTGTGCGATTCGTCTCGAACAGCTCCACATCGTCCTTGTACCAGCTCACCTTCGCCTGCGGCACAGCCTTCGATTTGCACTCCAGTATCAGCGAGTCACCCAAGTTGCGTTCGATTTTCGATTTGGCATTGAGATTCGTGTAGGACCATTGTGGTGCCTTTGGATCGTGGACATAGACGGTAATCTCGCGACTATCGTACTTATCCGGGTCATTGATGTACCGGGCACGGCATTCGTAGGTGCCGCGATCCTTGTCAGCAATGGCATGGAACTTGAGGGTCTTTGTGTAGGAGTATTCCGTGCTGTTCGTTTCTAGCTCAACATCTAGGGGCAAGAACGATCAATCAAGACCAGTCAATCAATCAATCAGTCAGTGCACCTACCTGGACCCTCGCTGATTAGTTCGCCGTCGAGATACCATTCCAGATTTCCATCGAAATGATATGCCAAGGCGGCGCAAGTGAAGCTCTCTTGATCACCTTTGGCTATCTTGCGATTTGGATCCATGCCGGATATGCTAATGTTCTCGGCAATTGTGCCCAAAAGTACGTGTGCCCTGGTCTGTGATGTAACCAGTTTATTGTCGATCTGATTTTGCGCCACACAAATAATAATTCCAGGCTTATCGGGCGTAAAAATGGCCTCGTGTATTGACTCTACGCTTAACAATCCGGGACGCGTGTTGGTCTTATACTGTTCAAAATTATTTACAGGTCAGTTTATTCTATGTATTCTAAAACTTAAAAGCATCTTGCAACTAGTCAAAAAGAAGCTGAGAATACAATATAATCATTTTAACTCAAACGAAATGTTCACGATACATAACGAACATTTTTCTGTTCTCTTTTTTCATTAGCAAGCTTTACAGCTGTTAAGCTTAAGAGTTGTCTAACGAGTCTGTAAGAGCAACTGCTCCTTAACAGCTGCCACTGTTGCTTAACAGCAGTGCTGTTATATGTTCCCAATATCGGTTCGGAATATTTCGTTTGGGTTAAAAGCATATATGGATGATTAGCCTAAGCAAACCTAGTACCTGATATTCTTCCTGAACTGTTTCCGACTGGAAGGGCAATTGTTTATCGCGAAGCGAAAATCAGGAGCAAAATCAAAAGAAAATTTATTGAAATAATTGAAGATTGATAAATTTGATATATTTTTTAGTATTTAAAATGACTAGTGAGTGGAGTTTGTTAGAAACTGCATAGAATGTCAGGAGGATATTATAAAAACAAAGTTAGGATAACATTATGTTAAACTATCTGTTAGTTAGGGCAGATAGCTTGATAACATTATGTGAAATTCTCTATTAGTCAAGGCGGAACATGATGTTAAACTCTCTGTTAGCTAGGGCGGATAGCTTGATCGGTTTAGTTGGATTAAAAGGTTTCGTGGCTTGCATAGACTATTCAATACTTACGCTAAAGTTTTGCGAAGCAAGCTCACACGATGGCCAGCGCGGCTTGAGGCTACAGGGCTTGAAGAGAAATGTGACGACAGCCTGAGGAAACGACTTGACACTGCAATTGAGATGGGCTTCCTGGCCGGCCACCACATAGACATCACCCATGCTGAGAACAGGTCCCGAAATGACGCTCACATTGAAGCTCAGCTGCTTGACATCAATGCCATTGGTGCCCTTGAGCACATAGCTGCCGCTGTCCTCCAGCTGGGCATTCAGGATTTTCAACGTTGTGCTGGTCTCGGTGGCAAGTATCTGAAAGTTCTGTTCGGTGTCCCACACCTCAATGCCGTTGGGCTTGTACCATTTGAATGTCGGCTGCGGAAAGCCCTCAAAGTTGGCCGTCATCTGGATAGTACGGTTGACATGCTCGTGCACCGTATAGTGATTCGAGGGCTCTGACACCTTCAGATAGCTCGAGTTGGGCTCTGTTAAGTTGGAATTATTTTCTTTGCTTTCTAGAAGGGTGAGAAACATGAGAAATACTTACGCATAACATGCATCCTGTAGGAAGCGTACTCCATATTCCTAAACGAGTCACTCACGACACACTTGTAGGCTCCTTTGTCGGTCAACCTGGCATCTGTCACGGTCAGCTTGCTGCGACCCACCCGGTGGGTGGTATTCTTGGCCCGCTCGTCGAACAGCGCCTCGGTATAGTTGTAGCGAAACTGAGAATATTGAAATGGGCTTTCGATTAGGTTGCTTTTGAGAAAAAGGATTCCGTTTCGTGCGTGTATTTTATTTATAAGCTCTAAGATATCGATAGATGTGTAGATATCGACAAACCTACCTTGTCCACCTTGTCCGGAACAACCCAGTGCATGTCGTAGGAAACGCCGTACGGTGCGGACAGTTCGCAGACTAGCTGGAATGTTTGTCCCTCGTAGACATGGCCACGCGATGTCGAGTTGATGATGGGCTTGTTGAGGCGATCGGTCGCTTCTGTTGTGCGCGCAGAGAGCATTACATTATTAGAGACAAATACTTAGACTAGAACCAATTGGGGTTTGACAAGCGTATCTACAGCTACATGCATTGGGGATTAGTCGGGTTTTAGGAGGGAGTTAGTTAAAGACGTGGACACACAGGTTTTGGTTAGACGCATAAGAAGAATCTGAAGTAAGGCTTAACTGTTTATATATAAAGCGATATTAATAGATTATTTTTGACATGCGAAAAAAAAGGCAAAACACAAGCGGAAAAATCCCTTAAAACAAACACAGAAACCCAAGCAAAAGTAAAAATAAAAATAAAAAGACGAAAATGCATGACATTCAGAACAAGA